AGCAAAAAGGACAACCAATTAAGGAATAAGGCCCCTGCGCGCTGGCGACGGCGGCGGGGGCGGTGGGGGCGGCCCGCACGTGGGGGCCGTGCGCCCCGACAATGGAGGCTCTTGTCTCAAGTGTGAACTTTTCGGAATAATGGCAAAACCCTCCAGTAATTGGTAGCAAATCGTTGAACAAACATATCAGATCTCGGGACAGGCGGGTGTGCCGTCGCCATGGCTACCGGCTCGCAGCCGCCCCGGGGGATCAGCGGAGGGCGGCCCATTATCTGCTGCTCCCCTGCCGCGCAAGAACGCCCTCGCCGCCCGCGCCCCCGCCCCGGTCGCCGCCACCGGCGCTCCCGCACCCACCCTTCCCGGCCACGCCGCTAGTAGTCCGAAACGGCATCAAACCCGGTCCAATAGGAGCAATGATTTCCAAGCAAATATTTCAAGTCGTTTTCAGATAAAACATACGTTTTTTAATGTTATTTTTATAGATTATATCTATAGAAACTCCCCACGTTTGTCATCGTTCTTCTCGGATTTTGTGTTGGCTTTCTGAACATGTTGATGTTCACAGCTCGTGATTCCGAATCAACATCAAAATTGCTTGTGACGTATTCAAAGCAAGTACAATGTAATTTCCAAGCCAACATTTAAGCCCTCTTTTTATGTAATAAATATTCAAAAGCATGGACTTCTATTTCCTTGATTATTATTGTTTTCTGCTTTTTCTCAATATTTTCAAGATCAATCTAAAATGTGTAGCGCTTATTTTCTCTAATTTCCACATATAGTTAAAAGAAAACAAGACTGAATTTATCGTCATGTTTTTTATAATCTTTCACAAGATATGTATTGCCAATATTTATTTCAAAGGTCTCCTCTCAATGTCCGAATGTAACATGCAGCAATATTTCCCATGTACACCCGGCAGGTAATAGGCTACATTAATATTTCAATTTCCGTTGTAGTTTTCTTTTATCCGGCATTAAGAAATGCATTTTTATATTTTTCCGATTTATCGTTTCCTGTCAGTTCCTCATTATTCCACGAGATGTAAATAACTGTTCAAAGAAACCACAATTTTATTATTATATTTATCAGCCCAATGTTACAAAACACCGTTCTTTTGTGTGCAAGGAATTACAGAACCTATTCTTATCAATTATTGACGTTCTCTCCCATCAATTGCTTTCTTCTCTAGGGGGACCTTTTGGCCCATTTTGACCCGGAGTGTCCCTCTGTGTGCGCCGCCCTTTCTCCGGCGCCGCCCCCGCCTGCCGCTTCCTCCCGCCCCCTGCTCCCTTCCGTCGGCGTCGCTGTCGCAATCGCCGTCACCGCCATCGAAGCTGCATTTGTCACTGCTGCCACCGGCGCCACCGTTGCGGCCACCGCCACGTTCATCACACGCCGTCCGCACCGCTGTCCCCGCTCCCGCGCCAGCCAGACGCCTGTTTAAATACCGAGCAGATACCGCCACGCCGCGCCGACGCGCTGCCGGCTCCGAACTATGTCGGGTTGAATGGAGCCTGTGGAGATGGATTTGTTTGTGGGCGTTGGGTGGCGTAGAATTGCGGTTACTAGTGGGACTAATGACGGCCCTAGATTGTTTAAAGAGGCCGAGAAACAATAAAATGAAAGAGCATAGCTATGGACATAGCTCTATTCATGGGCGAGAGGATAGCTTACTCTCTTCAGGCGTACGAACACTAGGGTTAGTTAATAGAGATGTCGAGCACGGTGCGAGTTCAAAACATTTTTCACGAAGTATGGGTCGTTTATTTAAGTCCCGTATCATTTCATTTGATCCTTCCATCCTTCATTGGCCTCAATGATGCAGTACTTAAATGCTTTCTGAAAACTGCTTGTGTCTTTCTAAACGAGAATCCCAATGCTCTGATTGGTAGTTTTCCATGATTTCTTCAATCAATACCCGATGGATGCCGGAGGACGAGGCTTGGACCGTGCGCGATCTTTCCTCATCTTTGTCCCCTCTTCTCTCCTTTTGCTTTCACTTACACTCCAAAATTTGTCGGCAGTTCAAAGCTTCTCCCGGCTGGGGAGGAACCACGATGGAAAGATACCTAGAGGAGGAAAACCATGGAAAGAGACGGGTAGATCTGCACCGGGTCTCACGTCCCAGAGGGGGAGAGAGACATCGCCCCTTCCGGAATATAGCATTCATTACACTTACGGGACTAATGACCTAAGCGATTGACGCAGTAGGCAACACACCAATCGCACGCAGAATAGTTTTTTAGAACTTAATTGAAGCATATTTACCGTAAATTCTATAGATAGGCTTAGTAAATAAAAGCAAAGTGGTAGAATGGGCAGAAATTACAATAAATAGTTTTTTCAAAATGATAATTCTAAAGACGTGACACGGCAAACCCCGAGACTTTTACTGTGCAAGCGCTAGCTTCCAACGACGCGATTTGTATTGACGGAACCCGTCATTCCCACGGTTTTGTTTCTAACGGCAAATGTGTCCATGGCTAACTATGTGTCTATTCTGCTACAACCATCTCTAACAAATTTGGTACGAAAATATCTGCAATACTCATGGAAACGAAGGATTTCGCAATATCGCACTTCTACTGTATGGCAGAAGCTTTATTGTTAATTTTAATTCTAATGAATTATTAGACATTGGAAATAAACAGCAATAGTTGTTTATAATTTTAAGGTTATTGATATATTAATTCATCAAACAATATTTAATTATTCAGGGCTGTATTATCTTAATTTTTCATATATTACATACATACAACATAAATATATAATCGCGATTTTATAGTAATAGTGAGGATTACATTTTAAGACTATTTTTCTTTTGAGAAGAAAATGCAGCAAAGTCAGAAATATGAAGAAGTTCAGTAAGGTTGTTTCAGTATTGTTGATCGTTTGTAGTTTTAACGAGCTCGTAGTTTTACGAGTTTCGTTTGTTCGACTCACATTATTCTGAAGTTACGTAATTTACAGTTGGCGACAAAGTTAATAAAGAGATTTTGGGTTTCACGTATTACAAACTCTAAATAGTGTTTAAGTCGCTTACATGAACTTCAAATCTTGACCAAAGATTTTACTGACATTTTGTAGTACCGCAAAAGTCGATTAACGAATGCGTGGGAGATAGGAAGATCGTTCATTAATACAAAAATCAAATATATGGGCGTAAAGAAAATACCAAATTAAATATTTGTGTTATGTAAAACAGATTTGTTCATCCATCATAACTCGAAACTATTTTTTAACTTCTTTTAACATATCAAAATTTAAGTCAAATGCAAGTTAATACCGTATACTTAAAATTTCAGCAAAAATTCAAGATTTATTTTTATTCGTACAATACGACTGTATTGGAAGGTGAAAAGAATTTACTTATTTGTTCAGACATCAATCAAAATCACCTACACGGAAGATACTCAAGTTTGATGATTTAGATAAAGAAAATATTAGTTACTATGAGGAAGATGGAAATTAATCAATAGAAAGAAAATGATATGTTTTCACAGCAATTCTGTTTAAAAAAATTACATTGTTCGCATTATTCTTTATTATCTACAGAAAATAAATTATTATTCCAGGAAGTTGTTTGAAACTAAAAAATGTTACGCAAACCATAGTCAGTTCGAGGAGATGGACTTATCCAGGGAACTATGAAATTATGAATGTACTTACCTAGGGTATTTATCATACTGAGCAACAACTTCGGGAATGTTTTACAATTTATGTAATGACATAATTAAGTACCATCAATACTAACTTATCCTACGAAAGTATATAAGAACAACGAAAAATAGATTGGTTTAAAAATTACTCAAAAGTGAGTCAATTTTTCGCAACCCCTGTTCGACATACTCCACTGAGACTCATTGCTTCAATTTTTAATAACAGGGATTAATAACAGGGATAAGGATAAAAATAAAACAAATTCGGAGAAAAATACATTTATTTTCTTACAACATTCTGGTATGTACAATGGGGCAGCATCTCGTGGGAGAGGGTCGAAGTGGGTGGCGCCGCCTCCTCTGTGCGGAGGCGCGGGTGGAATGGGGAGGGGCGAAGACGGGGCGGG